TCTCAAAAACTGTTTTACTTTTTTAACTTTTGACGGTATTTTCGGATTCAGGGGACAATTTTACATACGATTTGGCTGTTAAATTTTGGGATACCATGGTATCCCATGTTTAACGATGGTATTCCATGGTACAAGTGAAAAAGCAGCCACTGATAACTAATTAATTAGCCATTTTTAACTAATTCATTTTTAAAGAGCATACAAAAAATTATTGCAATCTTTGATTTTAGCAGGCAAAAATGTATAAGAACATAGCCGGACTAAATGTAATTTTCTTTTATTTTCTCATAAACTGTTTGAATGGTATAGTCAACCGTCAATATTGTAGATATTGAAGAAAATCATCATTGGGTATACTACTCTATAAAGGCAAATTACCAATACCGGCAAAAAGTGAATGTCTGGGCAGGACTGGTGAAAAATCGTATCAAAAGTTTTTTTTTTCTTTGTCGAGAATATGACAGGACAAACGTATTTGGAATTTTTCCTAAACTCTCTTCGTCCCGATCTACCAAGTGATAACATTTGGTTTCAACAGGTGCCCCACCTACGCACTATGCGCGTATTTTCCGTACTTTTTGGACACATGTTTTCCTGAGGTGGATTGGTAGACGAGGACCGATAGAGTGGCCAGCGAGATCTCCAGATCTCACCCCTATCGATTATTTCTTATGGGGCTACCTTAAATCAAAGGTCTACATCAACCGACTACAAAATCTAGAAGACTTGAAGTCGTAAAGAATGTCGCTTTACTAGTGTGGAAATTTTTTAAATCACGAACTTTTAAATTTAATAATACACAAAACTATCATCAAAGAAGGTATACATGTTCATTAGACTGGTTCAAAAAAATCGAATATTTTTTTTTATTCAAGCCTTTGTGAACTTTTTTTAATTTTTTTTTAAGTTTCTTTTAAAAAATTATCGCTTATTCCAATATGTCCACTCAAAAAAAAGTTATAAAAGTAAAAGTAAAAAAAAAAATTCCTGTGTTATTTAAACGTTACATTTATTATACGTCTAATTTCAACCTTGAATAACTATTAAAGGAGTGAATTTACGAAAAAATTATAAGAGACATTTTTTTTAGAACGTTCAATTTTCTTCAAAAATATATTCACTCAAAAACGAGTTATAAAATTTCAAAGTTAAGAAAAAAGAATTCCTGTGTTATTTAAACGTAAAATAGAAATTCACGATGAGCGACCTCTAAATATTAATATTAAGAGCTACAATTTTCAAAGGCTTCTTTTTTCACTACTAGGAAGATATTTTAATGCGGGCTTTGAAGAAAAAAAAATATTCGATTTTTTTGAACCAGTCTAATGTTCATATTGCTTGATTCAGAATTTCATAATCTATTTAAATCTGCAAAAAAGTACAATTTAAAAAAACGGCCGATGACGTCATAGCTTCTACAAAAATGGCAGCAAATATGAAAATTTGACCTCAAAATGTGCGGAATTAAAAAACAAAATCGATGTATTTAAGGAATTTTTTTAGAAAAAAATGCACATTTTTAATGAATTTGTCCTATACTTTTGCCAGTTACTGTATGTGTGAAAGCATATTACATATTGTATATTTAATACCTAATATTCTGAATTAATATACCAATGTTTTAGTTTAATAAATGAAAAAATGCACAGAGCGAGCATTGGCGAGCCTTAAAACTTTTTGAAGCCCAGGAAAATCATCATCCGCTTTGGTTTACACCCTATTTTTCAATTAAACAACATGACTTCAATAATATCAAAACTTTAATTAACCAAATTATCTTAAAAATTTTAATAGTTTCAATATCTACAATAATAGTATAAAAATTTTAATTTATCATATTGTGTTAAATTCAAATTTTGATATTTAAAAAAAATATTCTTAGTATATTAAAGCGATCTATAATTAAATTATTTAACTTTTAATATATATTTAAAAGTTAAGCTTTATTATTCTAAATTCTCACTTTCATAATATTCGATTATCTCCTAGGCTGTAAACATAATTTAGACCAATCAGGTGCATTTTTTACATCCTAGTCTGTAAAAGACCCGTTAGGACCAACAAAAAAAATTCTATAACTGCTGATTCCTCTAAAGCTATCTTACTTCACTTTATACTTTTAACAAATAATATTATAATTGTAATTGTAATATTGTAATAATAAATAAAATTGTATCTTGAAGATAAAATGTTCAGTTCAGTTCACTTTATACTTTTAACAAATAATATTATAATTGTAATTGTAATATTGTAATAATAAATAAAATTGTATCTTGAAGATAAAATGTTAAATGCCATTCGGCTGAGACGTGTCTTTTTGTTCTTCGCTTAATTGTAGGCCTTCAAACTTTGAGCTCAACACAAAAGACTTACTTCTCAGCCTTATTAAATAAATAACTATTATTTTGACGTGTACCTATGAAATCTAAAATTTGCAACATTTGGCACGTCATTAACCATAGCAAAGTTTGTAAAAGTCCATTGTTTTGCAATACTTGCCTAGAAACACCTACTTTATCGACCCATTGGGACGAAAATTATTTATATAGGTATAATATATATTATTTGTTACAATTTTATTTTTAATAATTTATTATGATAAATATAACTTAATGATATAAATATACTTACAAATAATTAAACATGCTCATATGAGTTTAAAAAAAGTATTGCATATTACATGCAATTTAATATTAAAAAAAAACTGTTGTTTACAAATAAGTTTGATTTATAAACATAAACAAAGCGATTAAATAAATAAAATTATTAGTGTTTTTTTATGTGATTGCTTGATACGGCATCTTCATTACATAATTTGATAACGCTTATCGAAAAGGAACCAAGCGCCAAAAAGTTTTCCTGGGCTTAGTAAAATTATTTGTAAAATAACTCATATTTAATAAAGCTCAAAAGGTTAATCATTAGGAACTTTTCTCAAAAGGGTTGAGAAGGTGCCCAAATCATTATTAATTTTTTGAGCAGCATTAAAAATGAGTTATTATGCAAATAATTTTGTGTATCCCAGAAAAAGTTTTTGGCGCTTGGTTCCTTTTTGATAAACGCTATCCACAATTATTGTAAGTGTTAAATTAGTTAATGTCAATGGCGTGACAATTGGGTGGCAAATATATAGCATAGCTTGTTTAAAAAATGAGATTTCTATAACAAATGTTTGCATAAAATTTATATGGTTCTCAGAAATTAAGAAAACATGGAATGATTCAGGAGATAAGTACCTATATTTATTATTTTATAGAAAAATCGTTGACAATTTAAATTGTCTTTAAGACTAGGTCTAGTTAACTAAACATTCAAACCGATTTTACTTATATCAAAGTTTTGTATAAAACAATAAATACTTTTTTTATAAGGAAATGTGCAAAATAAAATTTTAAAATAAAAAATTATTTTGCATTTAGACTTTAACCCTCTACTTGTAATATATTTTTTATGGCAATATAATTTTTTATAAAGAATAAAAAAGTTGGGAACCCAACCCGGGGACACATCTTTAAATTTCAATAAAAAATAATAGCGGCTGCCCAGCATCATAATGCTTAAATTTAAATTTACTTAAATCTTTCCGGTCGTTTCCATGCAAAAAAGTTGATCAAAATAAATTGAATTTAAAAAATCGTTCTTTTGGATGCCTAAAAAAAATTAAATTGTATCCCTCTAAAAATGAACGAGCATCAAATAAATAGGGATTTTAAACGAGATTCGGTGTAATATATCTTTTGAAAATGAGCGAACCAATAAAAACGAAATACAATACTAAATTCTACGAAAATAAAGTTACGTGTCAGGGAGTTTTAGTCCTAAAATCGCCGCCCTTCGATATTTGCCGCCCCGTGCAGGGCACAGGCTTTACGGGTCCTGTAGCCGGCCCTAGGTTTGAACTTCCTAACCACCCCCTGAATCCGCCAATGCAGTATACTGTTAAGTTAAATTTTAAAAATTTAACTTTTTGTTTATTTTTGGACCTTTACCGTATTAGTAGCGTATTGTAGTATTGTAGTAACATGCAAATTGATTTACAATACATTTTGAAGAAATAGTTTTTTGGTCTTTTATTCATTGATTTTTTTGGTTTAAATTTTGATTTTACAGTGTGTCAAAATGTATGTCGCTGTCAATATGCTATTTTATTGGGTTAACGATACTGTTTCTGTTATTGTGTTGGATCAGATAACTCAGTAGGTAAAAAAAAAGACCGTTTTCATGTTGAATTGAGCCTGGTCAAATATCCCCATAAAAAAATGTACGTGGGATACCACTTTTCTTTGTAAAAAAATATCAGCGAACGTGTGTGCAGGGACGCCACTGGTGAAACAATAGAATAACTGTTTTAACTAAAATGCGTACTTTAATATTCTACCATTACTCACCAAAATTTAAAAAAATATCCAAAGTGCTTTCGGAGATATTAAAAAATAACACTTTAAAATTACTTTTTGAAAAACCCTGTGGTCAGGGCCGTACCGAGGCACACTTTTTTGGGGGGGTGAAGACGATAAAAAAACAACTTATTTTTTTATCGATACTTTAGTAGGAATAGTAAAAATTTATAGTAGTTTTATCATGAATGTAAAGTGTTGTAAAGTGTAGATAAAGAATTTCTTTACCATTCCCCCTTAATTTTTTACCATTTATTACCTAACACTATATTGGCGTAAACGTCCCTTAGATAGTTATGTTATATGTATTTATTATTTTATTTTTCTTGTTCACTTTTTATAGTAGGTAGTTAATTACACAATTAGGTATTAGTAATATTTAATATTGCCATTTATTCAAAAACAGTAATTACCCTTAAGTAATTCATGTAAATTAATTTCATGTTGGGATTAATAAATTAATGATTTTAATTGGAAAAATTAAAATAAATATTATACAAACCCCGTAATTTATAAAAAGATGATCACTGTTATTATATTTACATGAGACATGTAATACCTTATACATACATATATATAGTAGGTGTAAAAATATTAATTAGTAGTATTGTTGTAAAATAAGTCAAAAATGTTTAAAGTTGTACTTGTGCTGTGCCTACTTGCTGTAGTATCTTCTTTACACATACGTAAGTCTGAACTCCAGCCTACTTAGTAAGCCAGAACTGAATTCGGTTTACCATTAAAAAGAGCGTAAAAATGTAGGCAAAAAATATATAACGGAATTTTTAAAAAGTGGGCTTCATACAGTTTGGATCTAGGATATATAATTAAATGTTGTATATCTATCATATTTAAAATATCAGTTTTCCTTAAACAATAATGACATTTCTAAAATAAAGAAATGATTGCTACCGTTCAGGCCAATGTTGATGTAAGACCAAGCTGTTGTATTATTATAATACAGCCAGACCCAATTATTATAATTGGGTCTGACTGTATTATCCAGGTATTTTAAAATATTATAACGAAAGAAATAAAGCCCAAACATAGTAAATTTTATTTTTAATTTAATCTTATATCAACCTAATTGGAGGGGTTGATGGATAAGGATGTTGACTTACATGTCTGTATAATGCAAAAAGGTTGTAACTAAGTACCTAACTAATAAAGGTTACTACATGTTTGTTTAGTTAACACCTCCATCCAGGGCCGGATTAAGACAATTTGTTGCCCTAGGTCAATAATAATGGCGCCTATAATTACAGCCTATATAAGTACCTACTCTCTAAAAATGAATTAGTCTAAAATGACTAATTTAATAGTTATTAGTGATTGCTTTTTCACTTGTACCATGGTTAACCATGGAATACCATGTTATCCCAAAATTTAACAGCCAATTATTATCTAAAATTGTCCCCTGAATGCGAAAATACCGTCAAAAGTTAAAAAAGTAGAACAATTTTTGAGATATAGTCAATTTTTCATTTAATATGGAATTGACTATATCTCAAAAACTGCTACACTTTCATAATTTTTGACGGTATTTTCGGATTCAGGGGACAATTTTATAAAAGAATTGGCTGTTAAATTTTGGGATAACATGGTATTCCATGGTTAACCATGGTACAAGTGAAAAAGCAGCCACTACCAACTATTAAATTAGTCATTTTTGACTAATTCATTTTTAGAGAGTATGGTATTAATATAACACAATAAATGTTAGCCGACAGGGGTGCACAGTAGTGTTTTATAAAAAAAAATTAAAAAAAAATATATAAAAAAATAATTTATTTTTATATATGTAGAAAACCAAAACAATGAAGAACTAAATTTTACCTATAACATTTTGTCGTTGATACTGCAAAGGTCACTTTAACACCTTTCTGCACAAGGGAACCAACCCACAAAAATAAAAAAATCGATTTTTTTTATTTTTGTGGGTTATTTTTTTTCTGCAGAAAGGCGTTCAAGTGAAACGCCTTTTTGCATTATCAACGACGATTTACAACTTTTTCTCCTGCATTTAAAATCGGAAAAGGACTCAATAATATTTTCAAAATTTATTTTATTGACTTCTGCTTCTATAGATAGAAGAGCAGTCTTCTCGTCTACTAGGCAACTGCGTTGAACATTTTTAGAACCAGATATGTGCTTTTAAAATAAAAAAGGTATTACACGTTTGATAATTATAATTATTTATTTTAATTGATTAACTTTAATATTCAACCTACTTAAAAACAATTTAGCCTTCTGCCTGGGCGCCTATTGGCTTCGCGGCGCCCTAGGCCATGGCCTAGGTTGGCCTATAGGTTAATCCAGCACTGCCTCTATCCAAAAAGCTTTGATTTAAAATCATAAAGATCCTTTTCGTGGGACTATTTGATGTCAATTATTTATAAGAATACATACAATATTTATTATATTAAACTACCTATATTAAGTTCATTGCATTTGGTATATTAATATTTTAACAACCATATTAATAACAAATAATTAAAGTACATAATTTCGCAGGCCTTATAACAAAGTGACCTAACTAGCATTTTGTAATTTGACAAGACAGAAGAAAAACAAAAAGGGGCAATATTTATATCTACGTAATATTTAAAGTTGCTATCTATTTTTTTTTTAACTTTGTAGGTAAGGCCACTTCGTAATAAGGCCGACGTTTGGTCAAGCTTTTTTATTTTATTTAAAAACCATACTACTACTTATTTTTTTATTCCTATACAGGGTGTCCCAGAATATGTGGGAAATTTTCCGGATTTATAACACATAAAAATAATATGACAAGTTCCTATACATTTTTTTCCCAGCCCCCCCTACGGAGATACTGGCCCATAACGGACGCCCCTGGAAATTGTTTTTTTTTATATATCTTTTGAACAACAAGGTGGAATTGAATAATTTATATTGTTTACTAGGAAAGTTTCCTTAAAATGGGCCTTTTTAATTACACTTGGCTTATTTAGTTTGCCAGAGACGGACTAGCTCTAGAGTAATGCTATTTTTTTAACACCATGTACTATAAAGGCCCAACAATAATATTTTTAGTTAGCTTAAACCTTAAACTAAAAAGAGGTCCACATCGATAAAGGGTACTGTTTACCAACAAAAATATATTTTTTTTGGACATTTACCTACCGATTTAAATAATGATGTCAGTGTCAGTTAAAAATAGAGTGTTTTGAAATTTTCGATCCTTTTTTTCTTTCCAGGGGTGTCCGTAGGGGGGCGTGAGAAAAAAAATGTATAGGAACATAATATTATAATTTTTATGTTTTATATCTAAATCCGAGAGATTGTCCACATATTCTGGAACACCCTGTATAATATATATTAATATATTGTTCCTTATATTTTAGCTAGTTTCATTAAAGCGTGTAGCAAAAGTGATCCAAATTTTAACGATTGCGCTTTAGAACAAACAAAAGCCGCTTATCCCTCTATAAGCAAAGGTGACAAACAATTTAAGGCTCCACCTCTAAATCCATTTTTCATGCCATTGATAGAAGTAGATACTGGACCAAATTTAGCATTAAAAATGAAGGAACTGACTGTTAAAGGACTAGACAATGCTGAATTTACTGATGTAAAGTAAGTTACATTTACCGAAAAATATTGTTATATTCTTAATTTCAATTTTTTTATTAACTTGACTATTTCGGCTGTATACAACCTACGGAAGTTGTATAACATAGAAGCAGTTGTTAATAGCAGTATAATAGTAAATAATTTGATCAAAATTAATATTTTTTTTAGATTCGATCTGGAAAAGAATAAAGCCCATTTAAAATTATCCACCGACTTAAATTTTGATGGTTCATATGACATTAATGGTCAAATTTTAGTTCTTCCAATTACAGGAAGTGGACATTGTAACATAACATTTTGTAAGTTTAGTCATTATATTATGCCTCGTTAAAAAAATATTAAGTATAGACGGTTTAAAGTGTTTATTTAAAGCCTAAAATAAAAAAAAAAGAATTATTAAACTTTTATATCCTTTAATAAAATTTAAGTGGTTTATGAAAACTAATCAAAATATCAAAATAACAAATTTTAGAGTTGAATCATTATCTTTAAACTTTGATTGCTTAATAATTTTCCAAGGAGGCTTAGGTATAAATTTATCTATGAAAAACGTAAGAATAAATAATAGTGATTTAAATTTTAGCCCATGCTGATTTTGAGTATGTCTTTGAATGGGACGTTATTGATAAAGACGGCAAAAAGTATGCAAACGTTAAGGATGCCCATTTAGACTTAAAGCTAAAAAGAGCTTATTTTCTACTTGAAAATTTGTTTAACGGGGATAAACTTTTGGGTGACAATATGAATATGGTGTTAAATGATAACTGGGAGGAAGTAATGAAGGAAGTTGGAGCGGGTATTAACCATACCATTGAAGTTGTTGTGACGAATATTTTGAAAGCATACTTTGAAAAGATACCTTACAATGAAATGTTTGTTGATTAATAATTTAATTGTGATCGGAAATGTTTTATAGGTTCGAATTAAAACTTAGTTAGCAGCATTAAATAGTCTTTTATTTAACTTTTTATACTTTCTAGTAAGTTGGCTTCAGAAACTTCATTATCATCATCATCATATGAAAGCTCTTTGATATTCTGTTTAAAATGCACAACAAATTTTAAGTTTCTTATGAGGTCTTCTTTAAAACATCGCTTTTTTTCTTTACATTCCTGCCATACTTGATATGCCATTTCCAGGAATGATCCTATTAGACCCATTATAGAACCAACAAAGAGTACCAAAAACACACCACCAACGTTTTTTAAATCGAGAGGCGTAGCATCTCCACCTTCAGATTTTGACTATAAAATAAATTTTTTTAAAGTTCACATTTACTTTAATTATACTTACAGCACATTTTCCACCTCCACGTTTTTCTTTCCACCATTTAATCTTTAATTGTGATAACTCACCAGTTTCCTGTAATTTTAAAACCTCCCTACTCATTTCGTTTCTGTATTCTGAAACTTAAAAATATATTTAAATAAAATTACAAGTTTCCTTTATAAATATTACATTTTTTCATTGCAATGCCATATCCTTTATCATCTAATAAATTTCCTACTTGAGCTAAAGAACAATGTCTCTCAGTTTCATATTCAATGCTTGTAGATTCCATTAGATATGCATAATTTTCTTTTTCTACTTTGGCAACACCCTCATCATTACTATTAACCATATCTTCTGGATGTAAAGCCATATGTCTCCATATTTTTTGATATGTACTTATATTTGAATCCTAAATTAATTATAATTATTATTCACACATTTTTTGAAATCAACACCAAAAATAACGTACCAAATAGCCAAAAACTTAACTATAACTAAAAATGTATTGATTTGAAAAATATATATTTCTTATACATGTAAAAGGACGTAAGCGTATTATTTTGACAAAATATATTTTCGTGACATTTTTGTTTGTAGTTGTAATTTATAAGTAAAAATAAAAATAATATTTCCAAAATGGTGTGCTTCTGCCATTTTTTCTGTTTCTTATTTGTGAAATAATATTTTTTCTAAATTAATGCTTATATGGGCAATTATTAAATGTAGGATTTTAGTTATTTGTTGCTAAGTTTATTCATAAACAACTTACTCTAAAAAAGTTGGCCGTAGCGCCATCTCTTTTAGCACCATATTTGATTTCCGTCTGACGTGATAATTCCTCAATGTTTTTAAAAGAAGTGACCAAAGTTTCAACAGTTAAAAATGCAGCTAGATTTGCTGTGTAAGATGATACCATAATCAATGTAAAAAACCACCATACGCCTGAAGCTGTTCTTGTTGATATACTTCTAAAAAAATATATTAAGCTCGATCAAAATATTATTTTTAATCGAGCTACTTTGGTTCCAACTCGGATCCCTGCTGCATTAACGCTCCAACAGTAAACCATAAGCAATTTCTAATACTAAATTGGTTGATTAAAAATTCTGGTTCCTCAACGCATGGATAAGGGTTGACCCATTCTGATGGTGAAAGGCGTCCTATCACAAAAATGGCAAAAGAAACCAAAAAATAGGCAACTCCCAACATGAGCCATACTGATAAGGAAAATGGTGAGGCAAACATGAAAAGACTTGGTGGAACAGGTTCAGGTTTTCTGTATAAAATACAAATACCTAAAAATGATTTATTTATAAATATTTTTCACTATAAAAAGTCCTCGCCGATTTTAATAAATTAATCCTATGGTTTCTAGACTTTTTTAAAACCAACTTTACATGATTATTAGAGTTTTGAAAATGCCAAAAAACAGATGCATAAAAACTTTCAATGTAAGCTTTCTTAGGTGTTCAAATAAATGTTTTTAAATTTGGTCCATTCAATTTATGTGTTATGTTTGTGTTTATGGTTTAAATCTGTTTCTCAATGAAACAATTTGTAGCTGCTTATACTGATCTTCTTCACCTTTTTTTATGATTTTCAATGCTTGGTTGATAATAGCGGAGTGTAACTTTGACATCAACATTTTCAGAATGATATCTAGCAGACTATTTATGGGTTGTTCTTTCCAATACCATAATCGTTACAATTTTATAGAGGAGAGAGTTTTGTTTCTTATTTATATAAATAAATGTTACTTATTATCTATAAAATGTTTTAAACGCATTTAAGTTTGGGGTGCGGTAAAATATACCCAACTATGCTATATTGTTATATGTTTTTATTTTCTTAAAAACTGTCAAAAGTAAAGTTTTTTATCAAAGGAGAAAAATACATAATTTTGTTGTGGGGCATAAAAAATAAAAATAATGCGTTTTGATCGAATAGCTCCACACGAAGAAACATTTTGAAGTTTAGCAAACGCATTTTTACACCCTGGTGTAAGAAGTGATGTAAAAATACTGAAAGACCTCGGTTAGGTCGTTCAAACAAAAATATTCAGGCAGAACCAAAAACAACAATTTTGCACCTAGACGTTTGCAATACGCATAAATCCCAATGATTGAATTTTTGTCAAATATTGATAAGGAGCGACAAAGCAAAAGGTTGCCTTTCTGGTGATTAAAAAGGAAAAGGATTATTTCTGAGAAAGAAACAGTTTTCCTAATACCAATTTTATTTAAAAATAACTTTACGGCGTATAAACATGTACCATGCAAAAAATGTGTAATAGTAAAATGGGTAAAATCTACGACAACTTTTTCGAGTACCTTACAATAAAGGTTGGCTTAGCCAAAAATTAACGAAAGTTATATATTTAAGCCAAATGATTGCAGCTTAAGTTCTATTTTGGAAAGACAATATTGAAACTTAAGTTAATGTTTTCAACTAGAATGGACCTTATAATTTCCTTTTATTTTTACTATATAACGAGAGTTTGTATTTTGCGGAAAACTAACAACACTGTTATTTTAACATTCGTAAAATTTTAGTTCTTTTACATATTTATATACCGGTATGAATTGTATGTAAGTTCAAAAAATTTAGACGTAGGCCCTATTTAAAGCTCCGACTTGTCACTGTTTTTATTTTTTTTTAATACAAAAATAGGATGATATACTGTTTTATAAGCAGGGGCTTGATGATTGTTTTAAGGTAGTTGTGTACAAATTTCAGCACTATTTTTAAAAGTGAAAACATACATAGTATATACATACAGTGTGTCGCACTTAAGATGAAGACACCCCCATATTTTCGCTATTTGAAGGAATAAAGGTTTGAATTTTTTCACATTCATACATGTTAATGGGTCACATTTTTTAAGCTACTCAACTGAAATCTGAACTTTAAACTTGGCCTACTACAAATTCACAAACAGGGCCAGTTCTCGATATTTTGCTTCGCGTTAGAGATATCGAAAAAAGTTATTGGAAAAAGTTGTTCAGAATATTATTCTAACCCCATATACCATAACGAAATTCATTTTTATTTTTTTTTATTTTGGTCCACACAAAATTATTACAAGTTCATTTTTTAGTTTGATAATAAGGGAGCCATGGAAAGTAATAATTTGATACTAACTAGTGTTTATGACCGTTAAACAAATAATTAAAACAATTTTTGGAAATTACAAATCAATTATAATTTATTAAATTAAGGAAATGGTATAAAACAATAATAAAACTAATAAAAATAAATAAATTAGAAATGCGAATTTTGCTATGAAAATCGGTATACGGGGTTAGAATAATATTCTGAACAACTTTTTCTAATAATTTTTTTCGATATTTCCAACGCGAAGCAAAATATCGACAACTGGCCCCGTTTGTGAATTCGTAGTAGGCCAAGTTTAAAGTTCAGATTTCAGTTGAGTATCTTAAAAAATGTGACCCACCAACATGTATGAATGTGAAAAAATTCAAATCTCTATTCCTTGAAATAGCGAAAATATGGGGGTGTCTTCATCTTAACTGCGACACACTGTATTATGCTATACCTAATATCTACAATAATTATTATTAAATTAACTTAATTAAATATTTTTTATAATTTTAAGCTTCCGTTAGGTTTTACATTTATATAAATATTTTTATAATTTCAAGCTTTTAAGCTTTTGTTATGATTTGATGAACCATCTAAATACAAGATATAATAATAACGTACCTAAATTCATAAATGGCATAGTAAAATCCACACCATTTTCTCTTTCCGAAGTTATTGTTAGATCGACTATACCAAAATCAGCTCTCTATAAAAAATATGTTAAACTTGCCCAAATATAAAAAGAATCTAATTACATCTTCTATAATTTCTTTAATCATTCCATTCCATTCGTTGGATGTTCTGTTAAAGTTGCCATATTGACCGTCTGGCTGTATAATAATAGTATAATTAAAACCCAGTAATTTAGATAATTTATCTATAACATCAATGCCAAATCCTTCAAACCGATCGTTTCCTATAAGTTGTGTTGTAGTTTCTTTCAACATTGCATAGGGTGCAGTCTAAAACACAACCACATATTAAATAGTAAATTAAAAAAGGGAAAATTGCACGTGGCCACGCGTGGGAAAGATTAATGATTTCTTAACCAATTTATAGTAGATGACTTTTGTTAAGAAATTATTATTATTATTATTATATTAAAAACAAAGCTATTATTCTGGTAGGTAGCTATTATACAAAAAAATTAACCACACATTTAAGACTTACCAAGCAAGTAATTATAAAAAACGTTTTATTAAAAAGGTTTCTTTCAGTTAGCAAAGGTTCAGCTCTATTTAAATGTTTGGTAACAATTTGTCTTGATGTTGAATTCCAATCTCCTATTTTTATTAAACCTTCTACAGATAATTCCATAATATCAAGCTTAAAATCTCTTCGAAAACCTTCATAATCGAATCTTAGTTCGCCTGTAAGTCCATCAAAAACTCTCTATAACATAAGTTTAGTTATCAAAAAATGTTGCGCCTTGGATTGACGAGCTCAATACAAATAAAAAAATATGGAAGCAAAATCATTTTGTTTAACTATAATACACGTAATACCAAATACTAAAAATGTTTCTCTGAAAATTCTCTTATAAATAGTTTTTTGTTGGTATACTCAAACTAGAAATTCGTGGCCTGTTTGATATGTTGGCTATACATTAGGGCCGCAAATGTAATATGTTACTAATATAAAATGACTTTGATTAGGCAATGTTATTAACAAACAAACTTTAGAGCGTCTTTAATATGCAGAAGATAATATCATATTGCGGATCCTTGTCGCCGAATAAAGGGTTTTCCAATATCTACGCTTGATCTTTGAAATGTAATAAAATCAGTTGTGTAAGTGAAACTGACATGATTTTAGTTTTATTTTAAAGCAATATTATTACATTATGTTTTAAAAATTATATTAGCCAAATGTCCGCCGCGGCTTTGCTTGGTAACTTAAATCCTGGAGACCCAATTTTCGATGACTTTATTGCAGAAAAGTGGCCCAATTTCACCAATGACGCGCCTGATGTTGGCTTTTAGGGCAGTAACCGTCTGTGGGTTATCGGCATAGATACGAGAATTCACAAATGCCCAGAGAAAAAAATCCAGTGGCGTTATATCGCACGATCTGATCGGCCAGTTGACCTCGCTATCTCGCTACGGAACCTTCGAACTTCTCATGCAATAATGTGAGTGTCTAGATGGTACGTAGCACCGTCCTGTTGGAACCAAATATTCGCAAGATCCATCCCATCCACTCTAGGCCAAATAAATCTCTTATCATCGTCCTATATCGCTCACCGTTAACAGTAAGTGCGGCTCCTTCGGCATTTTTGAAAAAATATGGACCAATTACTCCGCCGAACCACAATGCGCACCAAACGGTGACTTTTTGGGAATGGAGTGGAACTGATGAATCTCCTATGGGTTTTCGTCACTACAAATTCGGCAATTCTGCTTGTTAACAAATCCACTTAACTAAAAATGAGCCTCGTCGCTAAACATTATTTTTCGCCCAAAATCAGAATCAACCTACTCAGGGCCTAGGTATTAACTATTTCAACGTGTTGTTAAATAGTGTAGCGTTCCATAATGAAATGTAAAGACTAACTGAAAACTCCTACCAAAGATCCCATCGATCTGCCAAAAATCGAGCGTAGGTATTGGAAAACTCTTTATTTATTATATATTTTAAATCAATTATTATAATTATTATATTAAATCTACTTGAATATAAGAATGTTGAAATTATAAATATAATTTTAAACTGTGATAATATTTGTTGTTCATGTATTAAGGCTCCAAATCAATTTAGTCGATTGAAACAACAAGTAAACACAAATTTAGATTTGCAACCTTTTTGTAATGTTGGTCAAAATTATATATTTTTTCATAATTATTATAATATTGATATAAAATTAATTATAGTAATCAATAGAATTTTTTTTTAATTTTTAACAACATTTTAGTTTTTAATTAGGTTGCGAATAACGATTTAGCATTAGTTTAACGTTATAAACCCTCTATCAAAATTTAAAAACGGTTAGTGCTTTGCCTGGAAAATCAACGTTTAACTCCTGGAATGGCCTATCTAAAAAAACTATTAGCTGGTCTGAATACATAAACTAAACTTCCCTGTATGAATATTTAACAGGAAAATATAAATATAAAATATATATTATCTGACAATGATGCCTTATTTTTACAATATCAGTTATAAAATGTCATGTTTATAGGGAATTTTTATTTTATTTTAGATTAAATGTTTTTGTGTTATCAAAGTACCGATAAAGTGCAAAGATTTACAACCTGCGCAGGTACCTCTTCAAAGTCTTAATAGAAATATTAAATTAGTGCATAAAAAGCAATCTATCCATAAGCGAATACGAATTAAGTGATAGCATACCTGGCGGACTAACCACAGACCAATATGAATTAACTTATGATCTAACACGCAAATTTGCAACAAAACATAACAGTAATCAATCATTATTACTGAAAACAGCGTAACAATCTAAATAAACATAATTAAACAAGAACGTCACAAAACATAATATAACAATAAACCAAGAGGCCAGCCTCAATAAAATAAAAAGTGTTTAGAACTTAACAAAAATAAAATAAACAACTGTCTCTTAAAATACTTTGAACAAGCAGGCAATTAAAAAGTAACCTAAACACAAATAAGTCAATATAGCCATATAAAGGGCAACTAACAACCACTATGAATTACGCACAGTGGGGTTAAATAATTCGTATAGGTCTATTACTATTTTCAGCTAGTAAAATAATGACTGGCTGAACGGCTGCATAGTATGCCCCTGGGGCACTGCTAACGGCTTGTCGCGGTTGGCAATACTTCGGTACTAAAGATATATTCAGTATCACACAGGGGGTAAACAATGCTTAAGCGCTTACGGTTTTTTCAGCATAATTTCAGCAGTTACACGGACGCAGACAGACAAAAAGTAACAAAAGACACACGATAGTCCCCCAGCATATTAACCAACCAAGCCCCATTTAGGAACCCCAATTGAATGAGGGTGCTACTAAATACCGGGTTTTTAGATGTTTCACGACACCCTCACACAACGATTCGCTTCTTACAAATCGACCGAAAGGAACACATCAGCATCCACAAACACCTTACGCGGAAAATGACTAAAGCATGAAGTACCAACATCCGGAATTCGACTCAGACAGACACACGTACACAGACGAACAGGAAGTACTTAAAGACCAGCATGGATAAGTCCAATCAGTGTACTAACCAACCAAGCCTCATTGAATGGTTAAGTGTAAAGCCGATGGGGCCAGTCATACCTCCTTAAATGAGGGGGCCATCGTAGTCATTACTGGCTTGCCGACGTTAAGCCTTCCTAATGCCTCTGATAAATGTATGGTAATTTTTTAAAATTTTAACTATTTCCAATTGATTTTTATAATACATCTTACTCAAAATGTTAAATTATTACACAAAATTAAATATTTTTAATTTTTGTTTGCTTCTACAAACTATCATTATTCCACTAAATTTCATATCTGTCTAAAAACTTTATTTTGTGTTAAGCTTACTCTTTTCATGTAATTTATAATGGTATAACCATTATGCCAACTATCTGTTGTATTGCAATACATAGGTTGTGTATTAAGATTAATTATTCCTGCGGACAGAAGATCATGGACTGTTTCGTAAAACAATCTAACAGAATCAATAGTTAAGGCAGTTCTTAATCGTAATTTAATTCCTTGAAAATTTTCGTTAAAGTTTGTCGAAGGAATAATTAATTTTTGTATTTCCTTAGTATGTCTTATAACATCTGGGGAATTAGGATTTACAATCCTTAGCTGGAATAATAGTTGTTAATATTATTAGTATTCAAGTCGGAATGTATTTTTTCTTACTCCGGTAATATTAGTCCCTGCATATTGGTAAGGAGAAATATCTATAGTATGCATATCCAAGTTAGCTATAATAAAGTGATAATTATCTGTCATCATGCCCACTTGCTGGGCTTGTTTTAGAACCGAATCAAGAACATTTATGGAACATTCTATAATAAAGTTGGTTTCACCAGTTTTCTTAGCATTCATTAATGAAATATGATAACTTCCATTGATATCGGTTTCTAGTTTTCTAATTAAAACATTTTTCTGATGAGAAACGTTTAACTCTAAAAGATTACTTATGCTGGATAAGCTCTCGTATTTTTCATATAGAATTATCATTTTATGCCATCCAAAAGCCTTTACCAAGTCTATAAAAATATTTTTATTAGTTTATTTTTAACTCCTAAACTCTTAACATAATATTATATACATCTCAAGCCCCCTATACTGGATTAGTTATTAGTAAAGGATGAAATCAAGTCATTTTAACTAACTTACCTAAATATACATTTGCTAAAACAGTTGGATGTGGATGTAAATTAACAGAACAATATCTTCTGTCCAATTTTGGATCTGAATGTATCTCAACATGAGGTATTTCTTTTCTATCGCAAATTGATTGAATGTATGATGAAGAATAAGAAGAACTTGGACCAAACAGACCGATTATTCCCTTTTCTAATAAATTACATGTATCTATGTATGCTTTAAATGTATTGGTATCCGATACATTAAAACAATGGGAAGTCACATTGTATTGGAAGAATGGGCCTATATATTCTTCATTCATTAATTTTAGAGTACGTTGGTAGGCTATTTTTTCGATGGGATCGCTAAATAAACCTCCTAAAAAGCTTGTTAGTTTATTTTAACATTTGGTGTTTAAAACGACTTACCAATTTTTAATTCCTGTAGCTCATTACTACTTTTAAGAAATATAAATAAGAAAAATGTTACTATAAACTTAAATAACATTTTTGAAACAAATTTTTAAATATTTTTAGGTTAAAATACATTTAAACTAACGTGTTTTGTTTCCAAAGGAAATAAAACAAATGAGCGTGATTCAATGAACCTGCCGCGGTATTTTTAGATGAGACTTGTTATTTATTGGTCGGTCGGAATAAAATACGGGAGATTTAGTTTTATAAATAAAGTTGGTTTATTATTATTTAAAACACATGGATTTGTCAGGAAATAAAACTAGGTTGTTATAAAAACAAGTAGAATAGTTTATTTTTTATCAATAGATGGACAATTAGTTAAAAACTTAAATTATAACAAATCTATTTACAAAACAAGTTTTATGCATTTATACCAAAAGTATACCTATACAAATGTTTAATAACATTGTTTATGACAGAATCAAAATAAGGTATTTGCTATTTTTGCATTTATTTTCACACATGCATGAACTATGATATAGAATAACAAAGATATAACAAAGATATGACAATTTAGTGAGATGGTCCAAATTTAAACAGTCCTATTATTATTATTTTCATAATAAGAGTTAAATTAGCTACAAAACAGATAAACATTTGAAAAGAGCAACATCAAAACCTATTTCTGTACATTTACAATTTGTAAACAGAGGTGGTATAAATAGGTCCTAGCTTCCCATATAAATCGTGTAAGAATTCTTAGTTTAAGTTAAAAAAATAAATAAACTGAATATAAACTGAACCAAGAAGTATTAATATGAAGAACCCTTAGGGTAACCAAATATATACAAATTCTTTCCTTTCAGACTAAAAAATTACGAATTCATTATTAATTTTAAGTAAGATGAATCTGCTTTATTCAGATAAGATACAGTTTGACAAAAATTGTGACAGTGGTAAAGTACAACATATTTTAACCCTCCTTGTATGCCATTAATATCATAGTGCATGCAATTAAGGAGGCATCTGTTTGCTAACAAAGCCGTAAGACGTGTAAGAGCCCGGAGGATGGAATCGTCCATCATCTAAGTCTATGAAGGTGCCTTTTTGTTTTTGTCTTAAAGGTTTTGATGAACTTTTACACGTAAGGGCAAGCCGTAATTCCAAAGCCATTTCAGAACACAAGGAACGCTGAAAAACATTAACGTTAATAAGGATAATAAATTCTTATGAATTAAAAGAAGAAAATAACAAGTAAAACATGAATTTAAATTTGAATTTAAAACAGTAGATCTATAGAATGTTATAATTAAATGCAGAAATTGCGAACAAAACATTTTATCATACAAATTAAATACCATTTATATAATCCATAAAACTATTTTTAAAACAGACAGAGAGTTTGTTTAATAAACACGGTATATTTAATTTTCAATTTCAAAGAATGACCCAATAATATTATTTTAATACCTATAAAAGCTTTATTATATACAGAATTTTATATCCACTTACCTCCTACTTATCCAAATATTATTGAAAGCAAAAACAGTTTACAAAATGAACTTAAATAGTTTTCTATTCATATATACATACAGTTCCTTGCATACATTAACAATGTAATGATTATTATGAAATATATACAGCTTGTAATATACAATTTATAACTTAATACTTAAATGATTCATATTAAAAAAGCACACTTTATTTTGACTTAAAATATTACAAACCTAATAAGGACCATTTAGTCAAAAAATCAATTATATTATTAATAAAATTTGTTTAAATAAATAAGAACAAAAAGTATACCTACATGTTACTTAAGTTTTTAATTTTATACTTAGTACCTATATTAAGTTTTAAATTGTCCATGATTCCTCTCTATTTGATTGTGACTATGAATTTCTATCTATGAATATAAAGTATGATATTGTCAATAAATTCGATTTTTATTAAAAAGAAGACTAAAATTACAGTTAATTAGCAATGACCCTGATAGCTCAGTAAAATATTTACAGTCCAAAACGTTTTTAAAACGTTATCATTATTATAGTAAAAACAATAATTGAATTAATAGATTTAACACTCTTAATAATTAATTACATTTTATTAAAATTGAGCTATTCGTTTTCAGGTTGAATCAAAACCATTAAAATAATAATGAAGCAACATTCAATAATGAAATTTAATCGTAAAATTAATCTATTCCATTCACATTAAATAGCTTAATTTTACATATTTAATAATAACTTTATAACATTAAATTATAATTGCATTTTTACTTCAAAAACCATAATGCTCTTAAAAAAAACAACGTTTAGTCAGGAGCGTACCAAGGGATGTTATATTTTTTGTCAGTCGGCATTTTATTTAACAATATTTTTATAATTATTTGCTAAATCCGAAATAATTACTAATTTTAATCGAGCAAAATTAAGTTTTTTTTTAAAGAAGTGGTAATATAATAAAAGATAACACGGATCAAAAAAGAAAAACAAATAGAGGGATATTTCAATAAGATTCATTAAGTGTATTTTTCTGGCACTGAACCCACTCTCCAATATTCTAAGGAGAACACAAATCGGATTACAAATCAAACACAATAAAAGAATAAATTACATACATCCCATCAACCTAAACATTTAATCGAACTCAAATATGATTTCTCTAAAGCAGTAGCGAGAATGAAACCAGGAAAAAAACACAGACAAAAACATATGTAATCATTCTAGAGCGGCAATAGAAAAAACCATGCTAAAAAAACACGAAGGGTTATGCTTATTAAGCATTGCTTAACCTGCATAACAAAAAAGTCAAAAACATTCAAAACAATCAGAATACTATAATAGCGCAGTCGTTAAAGTTGACAAATACACCCCACTAATACTGATTGATGTAGACCTTGAGCCTAGAAGAAGTGTGTACAAACTAGCCCGCTGAAAAGAAAAGGCCCTGCATGAAAGGTTCCTGAATGAATTAAGCCAAGATTATGTCGATAAACAAGGGTCGTACAACTGGCTGATCCATGAAGAACTACAACCGGAAACTGAAGGGTTCCTTATTGCCAATACATCCTGAAAGACGGAGTTGAATCTGACTTTTGTGTTAAAGGGGGGCTAAAAGTATACACCATAATATTGGGGGTAACAAGTAAAAGCGCAGTAAAAGCACATATAGTGAATATAAAAACAGGCATAGCCAAGTTTTAGAAATCACAACCAAGAACTAGCAATTAAATAAAAACTTAACGATCAAAAAGTAAATTCCTATTATTACGAATAAACCGTCAATCATAACAGACAGAATGTTAGAACACAACAGACTGGACATGAAAGTAAAAAGAAAAAAAAAGGAAGTACTCCTCATAGACAGAAAACCTAGAACAAAGTACAAAGACAAAATTAACAAATATGACTGATTTAAAGTGATCCCAACAGTACTATCAAATTTGGGAGTGATGCCAAAGAGCCAACCTATTTTACGTAGAGGAGATATTCCATGGCATTCCAGAAGTCCTTATTGGACTCTTTCTGACTTTTTGTTCATAATGCTTTTCGTATGACTCACCCTCACAATGCCCTCGTTTCAGCTCAAGGTGTTGAAACAATTGCTGACGTTTTGCAACCAATTGAGTTAATTATCCAGAGATTGACTTACTCAATGGCCTTCAAGAATCTGTATTTAACCCTAGATAGCCAACCTACGTAAAATTTACGTAAAGTTTTTTTTAATCTGAAATAATTTACCTAATATTGGCATCCTCGTTTCGCCGCTCAAGCAGTGCTTTCCCTTCCATCACTACTTTTGGCAGCCGACGTGTTTTTGATGTGGCAGGTGTGGGTTGTCAGTGACTGAATATAGAGTGATAGTCCACGCGTAAATTTTACGTATAGTTGGCAAATTCGTATGGTTGTTATACGTATATTTCACGTATATTATACCTACGTATATTTTACGTAATCTTGGCAATAAAGTAAGTCGTATGGTTTGAAACAATTTTTGCACATATTTGTAATATATAAGGTAAAATTTACGTATTGTTGGCATCAAAGTATAAATTTTGAACGTTGGCTATCTAGGGTTAATAACTTTTTCAGGGGGTCATGGCAAGTCGATTTTATATTAAAATAAATCCTCAACAATTGTTTTAATCTAAATGGATCTTAGAAAGAACAGTGGTCATATAATTGCATAGATGACACCTCAAAACATTTTAGATACACTACTATTAAAAATATAAAAACAAAAATCTTTAAAAATTGATGTTTGGATGTTTTGGCTGAAACCCTCACTAATTTCGTTATTTTTCCATCTAGTTAAAACACATTGGCCTTAATAATAACAATTAACAATTAAAATTAAAAGTTTTTTATGCCTCATTGTCATGTTATTTTTTGTATTTTTATTATTATTATAATCATAATAATAAAAATAGTTTTTAAGCAAAAAGGGATCACTTTTGAGCACCCATAGTAGTTATGTTAGTTAAAACGAACAATAGTAGTTACGGGTTAAGGTACATTTTTGACATATTATAGCATTTGAATCAGTGAGTGCAGAAAGGGTTGATTTTAACCCAAATGTTACTGGCCTTTTTTTAAAAGGAGGCTATACAGTTCTCTATAATTTCTAGTATAGCTTAGGTCATTGAAATGGGGCAATCAGTCTAGTTGTTGAAATTTTTTCCCGATACTTATAGAAACATTTTAGAAAAGATTAACCGCCCTTTCATGATAATTAAAAAAAACTAATCGCTGTTTTTGTGGGGTAAAGTTTTTGAGAGTGAATCAGTAAGAACCGAAGTAACATAGTAACATAGACAATATTTAAATTTATGCCTTAAAACTATATTTATTTTTCTTACAAATACCTATTTTGAGGTTATGAATTCTTACAAAATAATTAATCCATTTATAGGTTGCTTCTTGGAGTATTTTTGTTACCTTCCTTTTAAAAGGATGCTAGTAATTTAGGCAACCAATAGATTTTTAATAATCAAAAGTCTATTAGATATTTGTTATTTACTACTAATGTAGATAACTATCATTTATACTTTTGATACCAGCTTTTGGAAAAAGCCTTTGACTTTACATGAGCTTTTGTAATTGTTACATTCCTATAGACGTAGTTATTTTTCCACCGGAAACTGCAAACGAAGACTGATGTGGATTCTGGTAAAGATGACTTGGAAGATATAAATAATCTACCCGGGAGTCAACTGCGAGCAGCTGTCGAAATTTTGGACACGACTGATACTAATGAAAACTCTGATTCAGAGATAGATCCTGATGAGGTTGTACCTATTTCAGTACTTTGTGGAAAAGCAAGTATATTTCAAAATGCAAAATATTGGGCATTACAGAATTTCGATCCGGGCCAAGAACATGTACTTTCCGCTAATTTACCATTTCATTCATATGACCGTACGGAATGCATGGCATATTGATAGACTTTAAGGAGGAAATGTGGATAAGCTAACTTTTAGAAGAGCGATTGCAACTAATTTTCTTTAAACCTAAAAGAAGACCTCCATGTTCATCAAATAATGCTTATGCCTATTCTTGGTACGATAGGATTGACCATTTAATTATTTTTAATTTAATTTAGATGTGCATCCCAAAGATTTTTTTAAGGAGTATCACACTAAATAAGTTAATTTTGGAAATGTGTCATTTATTGTTAACAAATATTTTGTAACAATAAATTTTGACAATCCTATATTACTAATGTCCTTTTAAAAGGTCCAACATTTTTTTGAAAATTTTGTAATTTAAAAATTAAAAATAAATAAAATATAAGTGAATACGATTGTTATGAACTATAATCAACCATTTTTATAAATAATTTCAAATGTTTAGTTCCCAAAAAATAAATCAGTAAAGTCTGGATTAATATGTTTATGTTAATTAAATACAGTAGCGGCTGGTAGTCTAAGCGCATGGGAGGCACGCGCATCTTTTTACTCTGACGCTCTTGTTGCACTTATGGACGAAGTGAGAAACCTGCGCGTGCCTACCCTGCGCGTGGACCTCCGGCCGCTATTTATTAAATATTTAATCTATAATAAGTACAGTTTTACGATATATTCTGGATATTTTAAAATCCGAAAATGTTGTAGATTTTGTAAAAAAATTATCCATTCTACAATCACCAATTCATTTGATTTTATTTTTAAGGTTTTAAGAATTAATCGGATTTAGCGAGATAAAATCTTGACGCCCAACAAATAAATAGCATCGATAGGACATTACTTGATACGCCCTGCGTCTAAAGGGTATACCAAAATTACAATTACGTATAAAATGACGTTCTAGTGCTTCATTTATAGCTACGTGTCGTGCAGAATGCTGCTCACCCGTTCTTCCACGGCGACCTTTCGCGACTTCCAAACGAACTCGCAGACAGCGATGACGCAGGCGACGCCCATGCCGCCCATCAGGACCACAAATACGCCACCCACATTCGCCAAACCCAACTCATTTGCAGTGCTGCTTGTCTTTGTAGTTTCATCCTGAAAAAAAATTGTTAATTGTTTAGTAAAAAGTATAAATTCAAAACAATTTAATTTTTTTTTAAACTTTGAAGATACCTACACTACACACAAAGCAGATAAAAATTCCGCGTTTAAATCTTTAATCGCCTCTCTGTTTTTTTACTTGCTTTATAGTCCAAAAACCTGATTTTGCACCTTAGAGCCAAAGTAAAGGTACTACGACTCTGAGGTTCATGTGTTCGTTTTTTATTTGTTTTAAAAAATATGTTTTTTTAACTTTTTTACTTGGTAGGTTATCTCTTTAAAATAAGACTGCCCCAAAAGCTAGAAGCCTGGATAAAATTACAAGCGTGCGAGATGTCAACTAGTAGTTGTACTTAACACGCACTCGACTGATGAACGGCAGTCGCCTGCGGAAAATTAGCACTTTCCGCACTGGTTGGGTAAATAATTATTTTTATTATTTATAATCAACATCAAGACACCATAGCCTTTATTGATGTAAATGACTTTGCAAAGATATAGTTGCGAATAAGTATTCTTTGGGATGGTGATTATTCCACACTCTTGGAAAAAAATAACTGTTTATAAATTTACAGGTTTTATTTTGGTCAGATACGAGAAAATGTTGTTGACCTCCACAAAACAATTGGCCCAGGGTCTGACAATTATAAATCCAGCTCTAATATTTGATAAATTTAAGTCAAGGGCCAATTTTTTGCTCCATGTCTTTAAGTAATAATCAATTTAAAGCATAGTAAAAAAATTTAAATTAAGCAACGTAAAAAAATAAAATCGGGCAAAAACAAACAATTTTAATTTTAAATATATTTTAATTTATTTATCATTATGATTAAGTATTAAAGTATTAAAACATTATTTTATGTATTGATATGTATAGTGAATTTTTATATTTTTTGTGGATTTATTTGGTCTTGTATCTGCCACTGTAACTTCTTGACATGTTCCATACAATGTATTTTGCCAAAAAAATAAAGATGTCAAGAAGTTGCAGTGGCAGATACAAGACCAAATAAATCCACAAAAAATATAAAAATTTAAAAAAATATATAAAAATTCACTATACATATCAATAAATAAAAAATATAAAAATTAGATAAAACATAAAAGGCATAAAAGTTAATCAAATTAAAACTTAAGCTATAGTAATGTATGATTCTCATCTGGCCGACCACTTGAGGAGACGAAATAAGCAAGTTTTGGTACAAGTCCTAGTCTTAAAAATAAACATTAAAAAGAGCGTGTAGAAAACCTAGATAAGACGGTAGATTTTAGACAGTTATGATTTGCTGTTTGAAGAGAATAGTTAAATTCTTTAATTTTTGTAGGTCTTGACACTCGAAGTGGATAGACGCGTCAAGTTGTTAAAGATTCCTCTCCTAGCAGCGTATACGAGATAAACGTAATAAAGTTCTAAAAACGAACCTAAGTATTCGGAAATATCGGTAATCGGTAATAAATAAATAAATAAATAAACAAACAAGTGCAGTGTAACAAATACAGTGAGTACAGACTACAAACAAGTGCAAACAAACATAGTGAAACGGTCAAAAGTGTTAAGTGACAAGAAAGAGATAAGTGATAAGTGTCAGTGCCTGAGCGGTCGCACCATCTGTCAACAGGACGATTTGCACTGGCCAAACAAAAGAGGCCAAACAAGGGAGGAACAGGCCACCTGAAAATAAATGCTAAGTATCCGCATGACCTAACATAATTTGCAAATTAAACTAAACAAGGCGCATTGCCTAATCCCCACAAAAAAAAAACAATAATCATCGGCAACAAAATAAAATAAAAAGTCAATTTTCCAAGAAAAAACCAAACAGCCGATCGCGGACACACACCAAAGCTGAACAGGGCAATAAAGCTGTCAACAAAACAATTTAAGTATAACAAACCGAGACCAAATGAATATGACACTTAAGACATAAATAACACATAAACTAAGAAAACATAAACAAAGTAAAAAAAAGCACTCTAATCAAACTCCATGGAATTGTAAACACTTTATAGTAAAAGTAAAAAAAAATACTTCCCACTGGGAACTGCCTTATCGCATGACACGTTAGCACAAAACATGCACTTCTCACAAATTAACAAGACCAGTTGGGAGCAACTAAGCAACAATAAAAATAAAATAAAAAAAACAACCGACACACTTTACCAAATTCAGGAACTATCCGACACGGACAATGACAATAATGAACAAGACGAAGACCTCGACTAGGAAACTACACCCCTGCAGCAATAAAAACTCCCCAACTCCAAATAGTAATCCCAAATGTTCTGAGTAATACTAATCGACGGGTCTAGGGGGATTCCGCGTCGTACTTAGTTTTAAGTCGGCGTAATTGTCCCCCAAAAACCAACACCTTCCCGTCCCTCCTCCATACCCCACTGAGCGTATAGCATAGGCTCGGCGAACCCGGGAATGGCTATTAAAACTATTCGCCTCTCGCTCTCGAGCCCCAAATAGGGGACAGTACGGAACGCAATGGACATTCGCACCCAACAAACACGGGTGAAGCCGTGCAGTTGCTGGGGAAGAACAAAAATCGGCGTAAGTAAACATAGGCCTGTACGGGGTTCGAGAGTCAAGAGGAAATGAAGCTGGTTATACGTCTCTTATACTCATACTCATACTCTTTAATTTTTGTAGGAGAAATTGATCTTAATGTTGGAATAAGCAAGTTCAATAATCCATTGATTTTATATATAAATTTAGTTTTTTTGTGAAAGTGTTGTTTATTTTAATTGGTATGTCTTTTCTATATTTAATTATAATAATTTAAAGTCCTAATGAGTCAAGACGGTGGCAAATGTACTTGAAAGTTTAGTCTAAAAATTTTAATTTAAAAATATATTACGTAAACATGAACATGAACAGGAACATAAGAGCATGCAGCTGGCCCCTTCCGATTTTCTTCCGCACCCCACTGTATGCGGATGTACTCCACAGTTTGCAAGGTACCCTTTTTTTGGGTTTGTAAGCAACTTGATGATGGTTTTGGTGACCCTTTCGGGAACTGTTCCGGGGCGGAATATATGCCCAGAGGGCTGGAAACCTTTTGGTTTTTAGGAGATAATAACGCTGACCCTAACCTAGGTACAACGCGGAATCCCCCTAGACCGGGGCGATTAGTTTATATACAAAGTTTATATACAAAAGTGCTCTTTTAGTTCCACCCCTACTTCTTAAGAAGTCCCATAAGCCAACTGAATGTATAGTAATTAGTAATACCAAATACTTAGTATCTGGGGTCATGCTTGCGGCTGGGTGTTATTATTTGGCTGTTGGGGCCTAACGTTTATTTGTAGTGTATACACTAGAAGCAGTATACTGCTTCTTGTTCTTCTGCCTCCGTATCTCCTTCCCTTTGCCCTTCCGTGTCGGATATTCCGGTATTTGGTAGCTGGATTCAAGAAAAGTTGAACTGCTTATTTCAAGTACTGACTTCAAAGAAGATTTGGCTGAGAAACGATTACTTTTCTTTAGTACCGAAGTATTGCTGTCTCCGTCGGGTTGTTCAAAATAAGCAGCTGACTTAAAGGAAGATTAAGCGATATTCAGCCAGTTATTTTACCAAGATAATAATGTAATAAACATGTATACATAAATCATTTGTGCAAAGCTCCTTAACTTATCACTGAGCCTCTCAGTCTGTTTACCATGTTTGCAATCTATTGCTTTTTGAGAAGACTTTGTTTGTTTGTTTATTTTGTTTTCGTATATTGAACCAATTTTGTACCAAAACGAGTAATCGCTTTTGCCTCACGATTATTAGTTATCTGTTTGTTAGTGAATTTTTGGTTAAAAATAACACCATAAGTAATGCTGCCTAAGCCTTCATATTTGTAAGACATGACCCTGTGTGACTTTTTTCGAAAAAACTTTAAATTGCACCGTTTTACAATCATAGCTGAAAGTTTTTCGGGGATTGAAAGCACGCCCAATGTATGTAATATCAAATAAAAATTATTTTTAAAAGGTATCATTAATGAAGACGGGACAATAGATTCCCCAAAAACCAAAAATGTGCGTTACTTTTTTAACGCACTTCGTACAATTACAACACAATCATCTCGGCAAAATTATTTTCAAAAATATAAGCCAGGTTATGTAAAAGTCAAAAATTAAAAGATATTGAAATATTAAAAGTTAAATTTAAAAGAATATTTTGGTTCTCTTACTCTACATGCTCCTCCTCCTCTCTTTTCTTTCCACCATCTAGTTTTTAATATGTGTAGTTTTCCCTCTTCTTGCAGTTTCAAAATAGCTCCGCTGATTGCAGTTCTAAACGGCGAGTCTGGAATTTCATTAAAGGCAATTAAAAAATTGTTATCATTATCTAAGCCAACGATTTATAAATGTTTGTTTGGGCAAAAATTAATTTCGGGCTTAAACGAAACATAAACTGATGCTGATCAAAGTTAAAATTGTTTTTATCGTACAATTAAATTTACTTACTTGGCGGCATCGCAATTCCATATCCTTTCGAGTCCAGCATTCCGCCAACTTGAGTCAACTCACAATTTCTTTCAATTACGTACTCAATGGAAGTGGACTCCATTAAATAAGCATAACTTCCTTTCCCTTTGACTACTTGTTCCACTCCTTCTATATTAGTACTCGCAAACACTGATGGCCTCTGGGACTCCATAAAGGCCCACATCCTTTGATATGTAGAGAAATTAGAATCCTAAAATAAATATTATGTTTTGTGCCCCACAATATACCACATATACTATTTATTTACTCTAAAGAATGCAGCAGTTGATCCTCCTCTTAAGGCGCCGTATTTGATTTTGGTTTGTTTGGCTAGATCATCGGCACTTTCGATAGGAGAATCCATTCTTTCTACAGTCAGGAACGCTGCCAAGTTGGCTGTGTATGAAGAAATCATTATGAGTGTAAAAAACCACCACATCCCGGCAACCATTCTAGTGGAAACAGCCCTGAAAAATAAAAATCTTCAGCGTGGAGAGAGCTTAAAAGATATTGGTATAAATTATATTAATTATTAGACATAATAAAACTTTAAGTTATCGAAAAGTTATCTTTTTTATTTGACAGTATTCAATGTACATTAAGTAAACATTCACTGGCAAATGCTGGTGGTTGACGAGGCGTGGGTGGGAGTTAATTATTATGTGACATCATCATTTTTTTTTTCATTTAAAAATCAGAACGCTATATTCTAAAAAAATATTCTAATTATGTAGAAATGGGAAAAAATAAAAAATATAACAAAACATAATGTAATATATGGTGATATACAGGGTGGTATAGGATTAATCTGAAAAATTTTAATAATCAATAGAGCCTGAAAAAACAATAAAAACAAACCCATAAACATTTTTCAAAAATACACACTAACACACTAATAGCCCTTCAAAGGCAAAAAACCGTTTTGTTTAAATAACTTTTAAACCCTTAAACCGATTCTGCTCAAATTTTGTGTGGGTAAAATTTTTTACAAAAGGCCCAGCGGCGGAGATTTTGGGGGGTTTTCCCTTTTTACCCCCATATTTCGACACCATTGGATTTTATTGGAAAATCATCAGATTTCTTATTCAATGTAGAAGCAAAACTTGTGTGTTAAATTTTCATAAGATCAGTGGTTTCGGAGATATTTGACTTTAAAATTTCAAAATCATCAAGTACACGGAATTTTACCATAATATTTTATTTTAAATCGGTAACTTGGTAACAATTATGCCACGTTATCAGTTTAGCAACATCGAATATGCAGATATTCATTATGTGTATGGACTATGTGATGGAAATGCGCTAGCGGCAGTTGGGGAGTACCAAAGACGTTTTCCCAACAAAAGAATATCCAACGTCCAAGTTTTCATCGACTCTCACCAGAGGTTTCGAGACTTTGGACTACGAAATAATAATAAACAAAATGTACGTGAACCAAGATTAAGACGACGGAATAGAAATAGGATACTTTTTAAAATGATCCAGGGTTGAGCTCCCGGAAAGACTGAATACCTCAAAGTCAAAGTCAAAAGAGTTCTTCATGACGACCATCAGAAACCTTATCATTACCGCCCGGTTCAAAATCTTCTTCCTTGAGATGCAGAGAGAAGGATGGCATTTTGTAGGTGGGTCCTGGAATCAGCAGAAGAAGAGCCCAATTTTGTTTCACAATCTCCATGCTTGGGCACAGGATAACCCAAAAGCAATACGACAGAAGTGCTTTCAACAACAAACTTTGGATGCTGGGGGAATGCATTTTGAAAATCTGTTATAATTTGTTACAAGCTACTGTTACTGTTATAATTTGTTACCAAGTTTCCGATTCAAGATAAAATATTATAAAAATAAACTAGCATCTAGGAGTCATCGTGCAGTTGTTACTGATCCCGTCATATTTTTAGGTTGTTTTATTGTAACGTTGATTGAGAATTATAATCAACGTTTGTAATTAATAATTTAATTGTTATTATAATACAAAATCAAACCAACCCAAAAACCACCCTTTTGAAAGCGATTATTTCATTGGTAAATTTTTATTGGCCAAAACAAACTTTCAGAAAAAAAAATCATTTTTTATTACTAAAATAATAAAAAAAGTTTCGTGTACACAGTGTTTTTGAAATTTTAAACTAAAATATCTCAGAAACCACTGATCTGATAAAAAATTAACATACAAGTTTTGCTTTTACATTGAAAAGGGATAAAAATAAATCTGATGATTTTCTAATAAAATCCAGTGGCGTCGAAAATATAAGTGTAAAAAGGGGAATTCCCCCAAAATCTTCGCCACTGAGCTTTTTGTAGGAAATTTTCATTATATTATCGACGGAAGCTTAACCTACACAAAATTTGAGAAGAATCGGTTTAATGGTTTAACGGACTATATCTCCGTTAGTATGCATTTAAAAAAAATGATTTGGGTTTGTTTCTATTGTTTTTTCAGGCTCTATCGATCATTAAAATTTTTCAGATTAATCCAGGACCACCCTGTATAGATGACTGAAAAAATAATATTTGTGTATTAAATATTAAAAAAAATGGCACGTATATCAATAAAGGTTTTTAATCCTGCCTATTTCCTTTTTTTTCGCTTTAAAATAACAATTCCTTATAAATTAATTTAAAATTTGAGAGGTGCACCTTTTTAATAGTAGACGAACTGAGTAATCAAAAAATTGCATCAAATGGTATAAAAACCTAACCTCAAAGTTTGTATAGGACAATAAGCTTAAGCAACCCCTGTTTCTACGACACTGTGTTCACTCGAACAATTGTAATTATGTGTGAATATGTGTTTTGCTAGTAAGGGACTGTTCGCAAAATGTCACCTTTCCAAGTCTACCATAGTAGAAGTTATATTAAAAAAACTGATAATAAGTAACCCTTTATCACCTTGTATCTTTTAAACATACCTAATTAGGAAAAATATTTATATAGATTTTCGTCTTATTTTGACTTCTATATTATATATATATATATATATATATATATATATATATATATATATATATATATATATATATATATCGCTAGATACAGCGAATTAAATAAACCACAACATTTTTTAAAAACTTTTTGACCTAGTCAGGTTGGTATATAATCAATTCTAATTCCAATTCCTTTAATCAAGATAAAATAAAATCCCACAAACATTAAATGTATTAACTTTGGCAATGTAAATTTTTTATGTAAGGTACCTTCATTTTATAAAGGTTCATGTAATAAGTTGTCATTACTTAGGGGATGATAGTTTCCGCCAAAGTAAGCAAGTTTTCCCTATTTTGCACTTTTGTATTAGTGCTACTGTTTTTGAATACAAAAATTATGAAAATTATCCTAATCCTTCGGCAATTAATGGGCAGTCACTGGTCTCGTTTGCGATAGCAACAGCTGTCTACATTCAAAGTAAAGTCTGCCCGTTGGAATAATCGACAGCACTACCAACAAGAGCCACAGTTAAACAACTGGCCGACTCTACTTAGTCAGTCGACTTCAACCGCTTAAAACGTTAAGTAGGTAATGGTTAAACAAATTGGGTATCGTGCCAAACAAATGCTAAAGAATAAATAATTATTTATGATTTTTTTATTTAAAAACAATAGCACTAACTTAAAAGTAAGAAAAAACTTGCTTACTTTGGCGTGAACTATAATTCCCAAAAGGGATGACAACTTATTACAAATACCCTGTACGTCCCAGTCAGTGTGATGATTGTAATTCGAAATATCAATAACAAGTAATTTGTTAATCCATCTGCCAATATCATATTTCACTTTCTTTAAGCATTAGTTTTATATTTAATCTTGGCAATTACAAATTAAAATTATTATTGTTATTATTTCTAGTGTGATTGACATGGTTAAGTTCATTTTCCTTTATGTTTATATAGCATATATGCTTGGGTGATTTTTAAATTAAATTATTCTGGATTTGTGGGTTGGAATATGTATTTTCTGGTTAATTTTCATCAAGTATGTATTTGCAGTCAAATAGTAAATTGCAGTTTTTTCATACGTTAAGTAAAATAACGTGTGATTTCAAATCTTAAAATGACGCCTACCTTTTAAAACAATCGATCTACTTTAAGTATTTAATTATAAAACCTATTTACACAAAACTTAATTTTAATGTTGACTTTTAAACTTTAGCTCAATAAAATAATTTAAAGAATTTTATTTATTTAAATTATTAAAAAAATGCCCAAACCATAAGTATTGAGGAGATCTGCAAATACCCCCATACTAATCAATATGTGTGTTATTACGATAATATGATTAAAAATGTATTTGAAAGTCATTTAAATAAACTAACACACTAACATTTAAATCTAGAAGAAAGCAGGGAACTAAGCATTTTAAGGTTGGTAATGTAATTGACTTGGATGCCGAGCGCTTGGCGTAGAATGCCGATATAAAAAGAAGGGGGAAAGACGGGCACTCCGGTTTTTAGGTGGGCAACAGGTTTGCCAACTTTACCAACTTTTCGGTAGATCTATCTACTTTTAGTGTCTTGCTCAAATCTACTACTTTGCAAGATCTACCAACTTTTTAAGTTTTTAAATTTAATTTCCGTAAAAGTGGTAATAATTCGTTGTGTTTTTTCATACTTTTCCATCTTTGAACGTTTACTGAATTTCATAGATCTATTACATTTATCAATAAAAGTGCTAAGCAACCTACACCTACTGAAGAACATTATAAATTATTCAATCAAAATATGTATTTGTTTAAAGAATTAAATATGCACTTGTACCCTTTTGCTTCTAATCCCTTAAATTATAAATAGGCACTTGGGTTGTTTACTATTAAATTACGATATGGTCTACCATATCGTAATTTAATAATTCCAGATTATAAATATTTCATTAATTTGAGTATTCAACCCAAGTGCAAATTTATAATTTGATAATTATCGTAATTCGTTCTTCAATTTTTGATTTTTTTCTATTCTTATTTTTAAAATTGGCAATCTGTAATTTTGCTTTATTATTGTTTTTATGTGAAAATACTTGAAATATTTTTTATCCATTAAAAAATAAATTCAGAGTTCCAGATTTCTTACTTTAGAGTCTCTAGAATACTCTAAAAATATAGGTGGTAGATCTACTAACTTTTAAAAGTAAGATTTGTTGGAAACTACCAACTTTTAAAATCATATCTACCTCCTGAACAGATTTTGGGTTGGCAACACTGGTGGGCAATGAAGAACGGGCATTCTGAAGAGCGGTTGTAAAAAAGTTGGTGAATGGAAAAGTGAGTTAAATTTGCAGAAATCAGTGTACGAGTATATGCGAAAATCAGTTGATATAAATAAATCAACGTTTCTGCAGACGGCCCTATGTATTTGATTTTATCTAATTAAAATGTCAGGGTTGTACTTGATTTTATCTAATTAAAATTTCAGGGCTGTACTTGATTTTATCAAATTAAATCGTCAGGGTTGTGAGTTTATCTAAATATTTTAATAA